GTCCTTCCTCTCCAGACTCTATTCTCTCAACTGTCCCAAGAGCTAATTCTTCCCCTTAACTTGCACAGGTCAGAATTGGAACCACCCTTGTCCTCAGCATACTGTACAGAGACTCAAGTCTGGCTTGTGACTGTCCTCACTTACTGCACACCAGTACTTCTTAAAATACAGTCTATATTCTGTCTACATGTCATCCAGGCACTTTTTTTTCCAGCAGTGCTAGGCACTGAACCCTTGAGCTCTGCCACTGAGCATAATCCCTGCCCAAGGTGCTTCTGTATGCTGATTGCAGGCCCCACACTTCTGGAATTAGAGTCTCTGGGAGCTTGAGCAAGTACCCATCAATGTGTGAAAATCAGTGGCCATACCCCATGCCAGTATTTGCCTATGTGCTTCTTCCAATAAAATTCTAAAGCTTTTTGGACTGGGAGATGGCTCAGCAGTTAAGAACACTGCTTCTTCAGAGGACCTGAGTTCAAATTCCAGCACCCATGTGGCAGCTAACAACTCTAGTTCCAGGGGATCTGACACTCTCTTCTGACCTCCACGGACTTTGCACAACATGGGTGCACTTACATACATGCAGACATTACACTCATGCACATAAAATAAAAATAATAAAATATTTAAAAATTCTAAAGCTTTTAGAATACTCAGAAGAAAATCAGGTCTTCAAGTGTGCTGGTTATCATTTAGGCCTTCACCCAACCTATAAAAGCTGACCTTGGAGGCTGGAGAGATGGCTCAGCAGCTAAGAGTGGGCACTGCTCTTGCAGAAGACTTGAATATGATGTCGGTTGGCATCAGGTGGCTAATAACCACCTGTGACTCCAGCCCCAGGGGGATTTGATGCCATTGGCTTCTGAGGGCACCTGAACTCATGTGCACCCCCATACACATAATTTTGTTCTTGGTCTTATTATTAGTATTTTTTTTTGTCTTTTTGAGACAAGGTCTTCCTGTAGCCCCAGCTGTCTTGGAACTTGCTACATAGACCAGATGTGGCCTTGAACTCACTTAGATCTGCCTGCCTCTGCCTCCCAAGTGCTGGGATTAAAGGCGTGCGCCACCACGCCCAGCACCCATGCACATTATTAAAAATAAAAATAAATCTTAAATAAGCTGACCTTGATACTGACCAAGGGGCCTAGGTATCCCTACAGCTCCCAGGATCTTCTGGCTTGTATTCATCTTTGGCCTGTGCTCCCTCCGTCCTCTCTTCTAACCCCCCAGCATTCTGCTGTCCTCTCCTCCTCTTAGCTAGCTCAAACCCCAGGGCATGGCTCAGTGCCCCAAGCAGTACTATCCTGAAAACACATACACATCTTTGTACTACTGTTTCAGAAGATGGTAACTGTCTCCTGACCATATGTATTCTACCCCAGAGAGACAGGAGGCTTCCAAGAATGACTGGGCTATAATTTTTCTATTTTTCTCAGAGAAGCTAGCAAAGAATTCAACTAAAGCATTTTGGCTGAATGAGAAGTCTTATGTAGCCCAGGCTGGCCTTAACTTTGCAATGTAGCTGAGGACAACCTTGAACTTCTGATCTTCCTGTCTCCTCCCAAGTCCTAGGTGAGGTATCATGCCTTCCTTGGAGAATCATTTCCCAGATCTCTTTCTCCACTGCAATGTGTTCAGTATTGGCAAGTGTGCCCTGAGGGAATTCTGGGGAGCAGCTATATGGTTTGGGTAAACAGAAGGAGATAGTGTACTCTGAGAAAAGAGATAGCATCCAAGAAAACCTTTATTCATTTTTTAAATGTAATGTGTATGAGTGATTTGTCTGCATGGAAGAACATCACATGCATGCAATGCCTGCAGAAGCCAGAGAGAACATTGACTCCCCTGGAACTAGAGTTATAGATGGTTGTTAGGCACCATGTGGGTCCTCTGCAAGAGCAGTCAGAGCTTATGTAGTCCTAGGCAGCCTCAAACTTGTTATAGCTGGGGCTGTCCTTGGATTCCTGATCTTCCTGCCTCTACCTGTGGAGTGCTAGGATTATAGACATGTTGTTTGGGATTGAACCCAGAGTTTTGTGCATGGTAGGGGTACACTCTATCAGATGAGTCATGTTCCCAGCCCCTCACCTTGTTTTTTTCTAGGTTAATTTTTAATATTAAAAAAATAGCTTTCAGGTTGGGCGTGGAGGTTCATATCCTTAATCATCCTAGCACTTGTGAGGTAGGGGCAGGCAGCTCTCTGAGTTCTAGGCTACCTGGTCTACATAGTAAGTTCAGGCCAGTTCAGGGAAAAAGCTTTCCAGGTTAGAGATGTAGCAGCTCAGTTAGTAGAGTGCTTGCCTAGCATGCACGAAGCCCTGGATTCGATCTCCAGCACACCATAAACTGGGCATGAAGTCACATTTCTGTAATCTCAGTACTGGGGAGGTGGTGATAGAAGAATCAGAAGTTCAAGGTCATCCTGAAAGGCAGTTAATGCTCTAACACGATAAACAGAATTGTTATTGAAAGTTTGTTTGTTTCACTAAGAATGGTCTGTGCATCCTAATCCAGGGACACACAGAGAAGCAAGTAATGGACATGGAGGGAAGGTGGGAGTCTTGGAGCTAGGCTGCATCAAAGAGCCAGACCCTGTCCTCTGGCCTCAGGTCCACTGCCACTTTGGTAACAGACTTCATTGTTGGTATCTGTGTTGGTTTGAATGAAAATATCCCCCATAGGCTCCAAGTATTGCCATTTTGTCTCCAGATGGTGGCGCTGTTTTGGGAGGTCTTAGAAGGTGTGGCTATCCTGGAGGAAGCACATCACTGGGGGTGGACTTGCTCTCTTGTTTCCTGTGCCTGCTGGAAGATGTAGAGCTTAGCTTCTGCTCCTGCTCCAGCCACCATGCCTCCCCACCATGATGGGTTGTAATTCCCCTGGAACCCTAAGCTCAAATGAACTCTTCCCTCTATAAATTGCTTTGGTCAGTGTTTCTATCACAGCAACAGAAAAGTGACTAATACAGTCATTGGTACCAGAGAGTGGGCTGTTGGCTGTGAAGAACCTGACCATGTGGGGTTTTGAAGAAATGTGGAAGACTTTGGAAAGTTGGGCTAGAAAAGCAGTTGATTGCTGTATATGGAGCTTAACAGGCCATTCTAGTAGGTGCCTGGAAGAAAGTAGTGCTGAGAACGATGTAGTTCCAGAGGGAATTAAGGACTTAAGCAGCACTTGGGATATTTTGGCAAAGAGTCTGGCTGGAGTATGCCCTCAACTAAAAAGCTTGCTTGAGGTTAAGTTGAAAAGCAATGAACTAATTTCTCTGGCAGAAGCAATTTCAAGACAGCCTAATGTAGAAATGGTATGGCTATTGATGGTGACTACTATACAGATCTACAGTTAAAGAGAGCAAATGGGGCAGAAAGAAATACAGTTTAGATCAAAAAAGAGCACTAGGAAGATCAATGTTGGAGCCCTGGTCTGTGCTGGAGAGGATCCTTTTAATAAGGAGATTAAAGTGATTAAGGAGGGGCCTAGAGATTCAGACTTAAACAGTGGAGAGAGTGCCTCCAGGGCAAGACCACACCCAGTTAAGCCTCCAACTTGTGAAAGGAAAATGCTGCAAGGACCACTGAAGAGAAAAGCTTCTAAAATGGATAAAGCAGGCTGGAGCCCACCCCAAAACTGCAGTAGAACTTGGTAGTATCATTCACCTGGTGCTGGCTTTAGAGTCATGAAAGATGCAAGAGTGAAGGGGTCATCAGTTCTTCCTCCATGGTTTCAGAGACCCACCAAGGCCTGGCAGCCTGCAGCAGGGGTTCCCTGCACAGAGAAGGCCCTGATAGGCCATTGCGTGAAGCTGTGAAGGTGAAGCCTGGTTGGCAATGGAGACCCTAAGAAGATGTTTGTGATGCCAGAGCTGTGAGGCATCTGCCAAGAAGACCTGCATACAGGGAGTGGTACCAGCCCAAGAGAGAGACGTATGCTGCATACAGCAAATCTGGAAAGACTGAGCCATCTAAGCCCCAGAAGTCGGATGTGGAGCTACTGGATTTGGTGTTTGTCCTGATGGGTTTTGATCTTGTTTTGGTCTGGTATTTCCTTACTATGCTTCTATTCCTCCTTTTTGGAATGGTCATGTGTATTCACAGTTCTACTGTATGTTGGGAGTATGTAATTTGTCTTTTAATTTTTACAGGGGCTTATAGCTAAGATAGTTCCCTGAGTCTCAGAAGAGAATTTGGACTGTGGACTTTTGAATAGTATTGAGACTGATAATGACTATGAGGACCTTTAAAGTTGGACTAAATGCATTTTGCATTTTATATAGTCATGAGCCTATAGGGGCCGGGGGATGGAATGTGGTGGTTTGAATGAAATGTCCCCCTTAGGCTCCAAATATTTGGACATTTTGTCCCAGATGGTAGCGCTGTTTTGGGAAGTTTTAGAAGGTGTGGCTATCCTGGAGGAAGCACATCACTGGGAATGGGCTTAGAGCGTTCTTAAGCCTTGCTGGATCTCCAGTTGCTCTCTTGTTTCCTGTGCCTGCTGGAATATGTAGAGCTTGGTTTCTGCTCCTCCTCCAGCTACCTCTCTGCTGCCATGCCTCTCTGCATGATGGACTGTAAATTCCCCTGGAACTGTAAGCTCAAATAAACTCTTCCTTCTATAAATTGCTTTGGTCAGTGTTTCTATCACAGCAGCAGAAAAGTGACTAATACAGTATGTTTACAAAGGACAGTGAAGGCTATCATGACTCAGAAGCAAGTTCCTATCAAAGAGTTCCTTTTGCTTTCCTGTGTCAGACCTGAGGGCACTGCAGATGCACTGCATGTCTTCCATGTAGGCTTCCTCTGACCTCTTAACCTCACCTCAGATGTTTCCCCATCAGTACATTTCTGATGTACATTCTCAGCAATGGAGGCATTCGGGAATAGGATCCATCACTGTATTTCTGGAGTTACAATGTACTTGTAATCCTATGACCTGTTAAGTAGCTTTCTTCTGTCATGGAGATAGGTTCATATTCCAGAAAAAAGGAGAGCTGGAAGCGGTGCCATGCTAAAGACTGTAGGAATATTTTAATGTTTTAATTACATTATGTAATAATAATATCACAGTCTATTTTACAAGTTACAGGTATGAGAATGTATGAAATAGAAATGGTAGGAAAAAACTAAACATGGGTCAGGAAAGTGAATTTTTCCAAAACCAGAGGCCAAAGAAAGCCTGCAGGAGGAGGCAGGGAGGTGACAGGTGCATTATCGGCTCCTGGTATGGGATTGTTCCCATGGTTGCACCAGGAAGGAGTCGAGGCTTGCCCCTGCCCTGGGCTGGGGTTGGGAGTTTAGTCTCATCAGTGAAGATGGAGGTTTTGGGAGAAAAAAGCCATCTGGTTACCTACACAGAGCTGGTCCTCTGGTGGCCACAGGTGGGTTCTGTGTTGAAGGAATCAGCTGCAGTGTCAGAAATCAAATGTGTGAAGGAAAAAAGTAAAGCTTCTTCCTCCTCACAAACCCAAATTCTTGAATGCAACAAGTTCTCAAACGTAGAAAAGCCTCACTTTGGATGTGCTTACAAGAAGATCGTCGTCAAAAAACTTTGTCTCTATGATGACATTTCCCCTGTGAGAAAGCAGAATTGAGAGGGCAAAAAAAAGTGAGCATGACAGGCACAGGCTCCACTTCACTTTCCATCTGGGTTCCCTGGGCTGGGTACACATACTGGGCCATTAAAGTACTTGTTCAAAGCTGGGTATGGTAGTGCACACCTATAATCCCAATACCCACAAGTCTGAGACAGGAGGATCATGAGTTCAAGGTTAGCCTGGGATATACAGTGAGACTATCTTGAAATAAGAGCAAAGCCAGGTGTGGTGGTGCATGCCTTTAATTCCAGCACTTGGGAGGCAGAGGCTGGTGGATCTGTGTGAGTCTGAGGCCAGCCTGGTCTACAAGGTGAGTTCCAGGTCAGCTGGGGTTACAGGGAGACCCTGTCTCAAAACAACAACAAGAATAAAACACCAAAACAAAATAAAACAACAAAACTCCAAAGCAAAACAAAACAAAAAAGTGTTGTCCATCTGGTTTAGATTCTCACAGGGCTCAAATGGCATTGAACTTATGTGACTAGTCTGCCTGCATCAATCTCAGAAGTCAGAACTGAGAGCACAGCTCTGTTTTCGTACACTAATGTCCTTGTAGAGTGCTGATACAGGCTGCATACAGATCCCATGTATGACTGGATTACAAATGGATGACTGTAGATTCTTGGCTGACCTCAAGGGAGGTGTCTTTTCCTACAAAGCTACCTAGAGTGAACCGCTAGGGCCGGCCTACCCTACAGTCACCGAATCTGACAGCAGCACTCTGCTCTTCTTTTTGTGAGCCATTTCTTTTCTAGTACCTGTGTCAGCTGAGCGATCTCTCCTTCACCTTGCAAAGGGGTGGCCACAGGCTCTAATTCAGGCCAATCGGATTCTCTCCTCTGAGTGTCCTTCCTCTGGCTGCTCCTTGAAGAAGCCATCCATGAATTCCTGCCCCTGTATCTTTCAAGCTGCCCAGGTGTCCGTTTGCTCTAATTCAGTTCTATTAGCCAGAGTTTGCTTCTGTGGCTTACAACCAAAGAACCTGAGGTACTGTATTGTAAGGGTATGATTTTGGTTTTTTTGTGTGGTTAGATGATTATCTCAGTGCCCTATTCTTTTTTTTGCAGTGCCAGAGATTGTTCCCAGGACCTGTGATTGCCAGGCAAGAACATCACTGAATAACGACCCTGGCAGGATTCCCATTTGTAAAATGGAATATTGTGGCCTTAACAAATAATTCTTGAGATAGTCTCACATAGCCAAGATTGGCCTAGGATTTGCTATATAGCTGAGGATGGCCTTGAACTCCTGATTCTTCTGTCTCTGCTTCCCAAGTGCTGAGACTTCAGGTAAGCACTACCATACCCAGCCTCACTATTGAGCTGGGGTCCTCAAAGATTAAGTACTGTTTGGGGGGGGATTCTAAAAGCAAGATGGGATATAATGCAAAAGTATTTTAGCATAGATTTACTGATTTTTATACTTTGATAATTAGTAATTACTCAGGGTAATTAATAACTAGCAGTTATAGTTCAGTGTGTAACTACTCCTCTGTGCGCATTCATGTATACACACACACACACACACACACACACACACACACACACACTCACCCACACAGAATACTAGATCAACAAAGGGCAAAGGATCTAGCTTGCTACTAGTGCTGAAATCTATGAAACAGCTGGCTGTGGTGGCACATGCCTAAAAGTCCACACTCAGGAGGCTAGGACTGGAGGGACAAGACTAAGCTACATAGTAAGGCCTAGTCTCAGAATAATCATCTGTTAAAGAAAAAACAAACAAGCAAAACTAACTAACTACAAGGCCAGGTGTGGTGGCAAAGGCCTTTAATCCCAGCACTCAGGAGGCAGAGGCAGGTAGAGCTCTGTGAGTTCGAGGTGATCCTGGTCTACATAGAAAGTTTCAGGTCAGGCAGTGCTACATAGTAAGACCCTAACTCACCACCCCCAAAACTCTCCAAAAACCAAAAAAGCCCCCCCCAAACATTAATCCCCCCTAAACAAAAGACCAAAAACAAACTATAAAAACTTAAAATAAGGCTGGGTGTGGTGGCGCATGCCTTTAATCCCAGCACTCGGGAGGCAGAGGCAGGTGGATCTCTTTGAGTTCAAGGCCAGCCTGGTCTACATAGTGAGTTCCAGGACAGCTGGGGCTACAGGGAGACCCTATCTCAAAAAGACAAAAACAAAACAAAACAAAAAAAACCCTAAAATATAAATAACCTCTGTATCTCTATTTATATTTTTGATATGGTTTTCATAAAGCACCTATAGAAACAGATTATCTGGTATTACATAGTTATCTTAGGTCTCAACTATTTTTAAAAAATATTTTATTTTATTTATTTATTTTTTGAGACAGGGTCTCCTTGTAGCCCCTGCTGGCCTGGAAGTCACTATGTAGACCAGGCTGGCCTTGAACTCACAGGGATCTGCTTGCTTCTGCCTCCCAAGTGCTGGGATTAAAGACGTGCACCACCATGCCTGGCAAAATATTTTATTATTTTTATTTATGTGTCTGAGTATGTTGCCTGGAACTAGAGTTACAGATAGTTGCCAGTTGCCACGTGGGTGCTGGGAATTGAACCCGGGTCTTCTGCAAGAACAGCAAGTGTTCTTAACTGCTGAGCCATCTCCCCAGCCCAAGGTCTCAACTCTTAAGATAGTACTGGGGCTGGAGAGATGGCTTAGCGGTTAAGAACACTGGTTATTCTTGCAGAAGACACGGGTTCGAATCCTAGCACTCACATGGCCACTAACAACTGTCCGTAACAGGGGATCCGACAGCCTCTTCTGACCTTCACAGGCATTGTATGACATGGGTGCACTTACCTACATGCAGGCAATACATGTACACATAAAATAAAAATAATAAAATATAAAAAAAAAAAAAACCCAGGCTGAGCTGGGCATGGTGGCGCACGCCTTTGATCCCAGCATTCAGAAAGCAGAGGTAGGTGGATCTCTGTGAGTTCAAGGCCAGCCTGGTCTACATAGTGAGTTCCAGGACAGCTGGGGCTAAAGGGAGACCCTGTCTCAAAAAGACAAAAAAAAAGTAAAAAAATAAAAAATAAAAAAAAGAAGGTAGTACTGCTAGGCATGGTGGTGTACGACTTTAATCCCAGCACTCAGGAGGCAGAGGCAGACGGATCTCTGTGGGTTCGAGGCCAGCCTGATCTACATAGTGAGTTCCAGGACAGCTGGGGCTACAGGGAGACCCTGTCTCAAAAACACACACACACATACACACACACACACAAAAAGAAGATAGAAACTTTGAAACTTTGGTGGGTAGTGGGGTAGTGCTGGGAATGGAACTCATAAATGCCAGGTCAGCCCACTGAGTTGCATCCCCAGTCCTACTGAAACATTTGAAAGACTAATATCTTTTCCCAAGAGAATGGTTAGGTGGGCATTACTGACCATGCTTCAAAAAAATTATTTTATAGCCAGGCGTGGTGGCGCACACCTTTAATCCCAGCACTTGGGAGGCAGAGGCAGGTGGTTCGTTGTGGTTCAAGGCCAGCCTGGTCTAGACAGTGAGTTCAGGTCAATTATTATTTGTGTGTGTGTGTGTGTGTGTGTGTGTGTGTGTGTGTGTACAGGATATGTACGATGGTGCATGTGTGGAAGTCAAAGGAAGTTTCAGGGGACACAGCTCTCTTCTAATGTGGATTCTAGGAATCAAACTCAGGTTGTCAGGTTTGTGTCGGCAAGCACTTTTACCCGTTGAGCCATTTTGACAAGACAAATGAACTATTCTTTGATTGGGAAGTATAATTATTAAATTATAGACCAGTCTCTGAAAAACTATACCTAAATATTATCCTCAAAGACAGAATTAGCACTTCAGCAGACTTGTTACTGTGATCCTGACAATGTTCAGAGCCCCAAGAAAAACAGTCAGGAGAGAGGGAAGTTGCTGGATTTGCTATCTATTTTGTGCCAGTTCCCTTCACTCTGCCTCTGCGAGAGAATCATTCATTGTTTAAAGATAAAAGATTAAGGCTCAGCAAAGTATGGTGTATTACTGCCCAAGAAGACAAATAGGGTGAACTAGAAATGCAAAATGTGGTCTGAAGTTTTTTTATTTTGCTCTTTTTCATAGGACAAAAGTCAGTAACCATACACACTCCTTGGGTACTCTTTTATTCTTACTTCTCCAGAGTTCTCTGCTTATGATTGGGATCAGGAGTCCCACCTGCCTGGAATTCCTGCTCTGAGACACATTTCAAAATTTCCTGGGACCTCACTCACGTTAGGACGCTGGCTGGCATCATCTGGGACTCAGGTGCTGCCTCTATCAAGGACTGCCAGGTATTTGTGGAGTTAGGTATCACAAAGCCAAACTCGAAGAACCACTCTGAAGGAAGAAGGAAAAGTCAGTGAGCAGGTGTGATCTGCGGGTATGGGGAACATACGCTATTTTACCCCTTCTTTAGAGTGAGCCTCTTCCTACTCCAGAACCACCAAAGGAACCTGTCAGAGACCTCCTAGCAGAAGCTTAAGAAAGGACATGAACAACTCCACAGGCTCTCTTTTGAATTGTGCCAGAGGCTTCCTTCTTATGGGGGTGAGCAGGACACAATAGAAGTCAATAGAAGTATTTCTTTCTTTTTTTTTTTTTTTTAAGCAAGACAGATTGAATTTATTTCCATATTAAACTAACAAATAGTGTACAGTCTTCAAAAGAAGCTATAGTACTGGGAACACAAGTAAGTTTCTTGTACATATGATTCTATCTACATATATATCAATATACGTTTTTGTGTATTTACATTTTGTGTAAATATAATAATTTATAATATCTTACATAATAGCTTTTATTTTCTTTCCATCATTAATCTGACTTGGTACAAAGTCTCCCTGTAGCCCCAGCTGTCCTGGAACTCACTATGTAGACCAGGCTGGCCTGGAATTCACAGAGATCCGCTTGCCTCAGCCTCTCGAGTATTGGGACAAAAGGTGACAATGTCTTCAATTTTTATCATTATCTGCCATTTTCAAAGACCTAGGCTAAAATGTAATAGGATAGTAAAATGTTAAAATCACAAGTCTTGTAAGAAAAGTTTTGATTTTTCTCTGGCTTATTGTTTTTAACCACATCAAGTAATAGTGAAAACATCTAACCATTCTTTCTATTGTGCTACTCAGCACTATAAGCAATATTTCTTTCTCTCTTTCTTTTTTTTTTTTCTCGTCTTTTTGAGACAGGGTCTCCCTGCAGCCCCAGCTGACCTGGAACTCACTACGTAGATCAGACCGGCCTTGAACTCACAGAGAAGCAGTATTTCTTAAAAGCAGCCTGGATGTGACCTAAAACAGGGGTAGGCCTTTTCACTTAGAATATTAGTTCCAAGGTGTCTACACGGTCTTGTACACTTTGTGAACTCAATGCAGGAAGCCCTTACCAGACATGTCTTATGATGCTGTAGGTACAGCTCTGTATTGTATTTGATCATAGTTACTTCCTCCAAGAGCTCATAATAGCAAATCAACACCAAGCCAGGCACAGGTACTCCGGCTTCCAGGGTCAGAGCCCCAGGTATTCAGCCTTGTTCTTACTGCCCCCACTGCTGCAGAATGAAGGAATTCTATTACAGACCCCATGAATATTTTCAAAGTACTGCTTTCCCTTTCACCCTGGCCATGTGAAGCTCCAGTTTCATGCATACATGTAGCAGAATACCTTCTAGACATTGGCCTTTGAAATAAACTTTTTGTTCCAGGCGGAATTTTTCCATTTGCTCTGCTGAAGAAAAGTTCAATTCTCGAGACACTGCCTTGCACTTGAGGATTTTCTTGGGCACACGGGCTGATGAGAAAAAGAAATACTGGTAACCATTCTAAATGAAAACCACAGGACTTTAGATTCCTGGGAGCGTCTTCTGGCTGATGTAGAGAACTCGTCATGTATCTTAAATTTCAGAAAATGCCTTGGTAACTGTATTACATTCCAGATGAAGGTGGAGATCTTTACACCAGATCTGGGGCCTGTAGGCTTCACCTAGCTGCTCTTGGCAGGCACAGGCTGTGTGAGCACTCTCTCTCTCTATTCAGGCTACGTGAGTGTTTTCTCTTTATTCTGTTCTATTCGCTGTAATTATTTTTTCTTTCTCCTTCAGAAAAAGTTGAAATCTTAGCTTATGTCATTTGGGTTTTGTTTGTTCATGTATATGTATGTATACACACACATGAGATAGGATGGATCTCATGTAGTCCAGGCTGGCCTTGAACTCCTGATCTTCTGTCTCAGCCTCCCAAGTGTTGGGATTACAGGAATATGCCATTATACCTAAATTTAGGTATGTTCTAATGCTAAAATTTCAGCATAAAATGGATTCAGGGAAGTGAGAGAAAGAAATGTAAAACAAGAGAAAGCAATGTCAGATTTGTCAATGTATAGATTTGTGTGCTGTGCCTTTGGGGCTCAACTGCCTATTAGGTATATGTTAATTTAGCTCCCAGATGCTATGGTCTGCTTTGCACTGGGCATAGCCTGTGCACACAAGGGCTGGAAAGTACCTTCATGCTCCACACCAGGGACAGACAGGTCTTCTGTTCCTTGCCAGAGTATCTTCCCTGTCTCAGCATCTCGAAGGTTCATCCAATTTCTGATCATTATGATTAAGGAAAAATAAGGCTCTGAAAGTGATGCCTACTTTGCAGTCTAGTCTAGTCTACTTTGCTCCTATCAACTTTTGCTTACTTTGTAGCAATTCTATCAATCAGCTCAGGGCCATGAAAATTGATGAGGATATGTAAGAGAGTCCTAAATTATCTAAAGGGAGAGACAGAGACTGTAGGAGTTTTATTTCTTTAAATTTTTTGATGTACTTATTTGTATTTTATGTGTACAAGTGTTTTGCCTACATGTATGTAAGTACACTATGTACATGCTTGGTGCCCACAGAGGTCAGAAGAGGGTGTGGGATCCTCTTGAATTTGGTGTTACAGATAGTTGCTAGCTGCCATGTGGGTGCTGAGAACTGAACCCAGGTCCTCTGCAAGACCAGACAATGCTCTTAACCACTGAGCCACCTCTCTAGCCTCCCCCCACCCAGGAGATATTTTAATCAACGTCATCCTACATCATAAGAATCCAAAGACAAGGACTAGGGTATAGCTCAGTAGTAGAGTGCTTGCCCAGCAATTTCAAGGCCCTGGTTTAATCTCCAGCACTGGGAAGGAAAAAAAAAAAAATTCAAAGACAGCACCTAGAAATTCTAAGAAAGGGATAGAAAACCAATAGTGAGGAGCTAGAGAGTTGGCTCAGCTGGTAGAGGTGCTTGCCATCAATCCTGAAGACCCACATGGGTTTAACTTCCATGTGTTGTGGCACACATGCACCCACATACGTGCACACAAAATAAATGAATGCGATTTAAAAAAAAAGTGAAAAATTTAAAAATTGACAACAGAAATTTGATCAACTAAGGTAATAAAAGACCTAAAAGATCAGCTATCAGATACCTCCATAGAAATGACTCATGCAGATACCCCTATAGTGAAGACTACAGTCCATATACTTCACACACTAGCACCAAACTCTCATCTCAAACAGCTTTTTAATTTTTAAATTTTTTTTTATTTTATGTGTATGTGTGTATTGCCTGCATGTAGGACAGAAGAGGCTGTTGGATCCCCTAGTTACGGACAGTTGTTAGCTGCCATGTGGGTTCTGGGATTCAAACCCGGGTCTTCTGCAAGAACAACTCGTCTTCCTTTTTTTTTTTTTGTCTGGAACTTCTATGTAGACCAGGCTGGCCTTGAACTCACAGAGATCTGCCTGCCTCTGCCTCCCGAGTGCTGGAATTAAAGGCGTGCACCACCACACCTGGCCAAGAACAACCAGTCTTCTTAACCGCTGAGCAGCCTCTCCAGCCCCTCAAACAGCTTTTTAATGCCCTGCTTTTAAATATGAGAAGACAGCCAAGGGCTGGAAAGATGGCACAGTAGGTAAAAGTCCTTGTTACATAAATAAGAGAACCTGAGCTCCAGACCCCATGGTAGAAAGACAGAATGAAGAACCGACTCCTAAAAGTTCTTCTCTGACCTACACTCATGTTTTTGCATGTGTGTACCTGTGTGCATGTACACACACACACACACACACACACAGAGCCAAGAATTATCAGGAATTTAAGAAGGCATTTACTATGAAAAATAGACAAAAAATGAAGGCAAAAAGCCAATTCAAGAGATAAGAGATTACAGACAAAAATGCAAGCTTTTAACAAAATGTTTAAAAAGACATGGATCAGCTGTTAAGAATGCTTTCTGCCCTTGCAGAGGACAGGAGTTTAATTCCTAGAGCCCATATTAGGCAGCTCACAACTACCTCAAACTCCATCTCCAGGAGATCCAATGTTTTCTTCTGGCTTCATGTTTAAACACAAACACACACACACACACACACACACACACACACACACACACACACACATACACAAATAATCTTTAAAAGAGACATGACATAACACTTTTAAATGCTACATGTTTTATATGGTTCTGTGTATTTTAGGTGATTTTCTGTGGTTCATGGTTAACTTTATGAGGCTGCTCAGCTTATTCTTAGTCAAAAATGGCTTTTAACTTAAATGTTTATATTTTATATCATGTGTCTGATACAATATATGAGACACTAATAACCATTAAGGGAAAAGGAAAAGTCTAGAAAAATAGGTGAGGAAAGATACAAAAAGAGGGGCTAGTGAGATGGCTCAGCTGGTAAAGGTGCTTGCTAAGTCTGATGACTTGAGTTCAATCCTCAGGACATATGTTGAAGGAGAGTCCTCTGACTTCTAAACATTTATACACACATGCATATATACAATAAATTTTAAAATGTGGGGCTGGAGAGATGGCTCAGCGGTTAAGAACACTGTTCTTGCAGAAGACTCGGGTTCACATCCTAGCACCCACATGGTAGCTAACAACTGTCCCATAACTCCAGTTCCAGGTGATCCAACAGCCTCTTCTGTCCTCCATGGGCACTGTATGGCATGGGTGCACTTACCTACATGCAGGCAATACACACATACACATAGAAAAAAAAATTTTTTTATACCATAATGAAACCAAATATTCTGCATGATAATTTAAATAAGAAAGTTGAAAATACCCAAAGATTCAAATATAACTGTAGCCATCCAGTTCCAGAGGATCTGATGCCCTCCTCTGACCTCCATGGGCACTGCACAACACGGGTGCACTTACATAAGTATACACATAAAATAATATAAAAAATAATAAATAAAACATTAAAAAAAGCCAAAAGTGGAGACTAGTCTAAGAGGGCCAACATCTAATAACGAGAATTAGAAAGACAGAACAGAGACCAGGCATGGTGGAACAAGCTTGTAACCCCAGTGCTTAGGAAGTAGAGCAGGAGTTCAAAATCATCTGGTTTACTGAGTTTGAGGACAGCTTGAGCTACATTGTGAGTTAGAGGCCAGCCTGACCTACATTATCTCAAAAAAGAAACATGAACATTCAATGGAAAAAGTTTTTTTTTTCCCTAAAAAGATTAACAAAGAAAAAGAAAATTAACGCTATCCAAGTAAAGAAGCAAAATCTGTGAAAGATGGTTAATGCCAGCAAAGAGCTGAGCAGCTGATACAGCTTACATGTGCTTTTTTTCTTTGCCCCCAATCCCCCAAACAGCGGGAGGCAGGGACTGCTGCACCACAGCAGCTAGGAGGCCAGGCCGGGACACTGGGGTGGCCAATTCTGGGGTCCTGAAGCTGGAGTCACACATTTGAGGAAGAGTCTTCCATGTGGGGATGCAGGGACACATCAACCTACCCTTTCCCGCTATGTGGGCTTCTGGGGCAGGCCTTGGTCCTCCAGCTTTCAGGTGGCTTCCAAAGCCCCAGACTTCCTTACCACATGCTCCCACTGTTTGACTCGCTGGCAGTGGAGGGTCCTGCCCAGTGCAGCTGCTATGCACTGTGTGGGTGACGGCATTCAGATGGGCAGTCTAGGTTTTGCTGCTCCACAGAAGAGTCACACAAGACAACCTAGGGATATCCAGCAGAGGCACGGAATGCGATACGCACCCCTCTTCTCCGGGTGTGTGAGTCCTAACCAATTCTCCCACGAGCTTTCTATGCTTCTAGTCGCTGCAGCTCCTTTACCTACTTGGTGCCCTTCCCCTGCATATTTCAAATTCATTAATTTATTGTGCTGGGGATGGAATCCAGGACCTTTCAAATGCTAAGCAAACACTTTACAACTAAGCTACACTTCTGGTCTTTTAAATTTTAATTTTATTTAAATAATTAAATTAAAAAAACTCCAGTATATACATTTTTGCTTAGATCATATTTTACAATTCTAAGTACTACAAATCTGCTTACCCATTCCTATACATATAAGAGAAAGCTTCTCCAACCCAAGAAGGAAAACTGATACTACTATCCTGCCAACCTCCTCTGAGCTCAGATTTGGACTAGACACCTTAAATCCAAGGGTTTCAGAAGACACTCCTTACTTGGCCTGTTCTGTACAAGCCTCTTATTTCTCAACAATTCCTATACACCCACCACAGCAACATGGACATCAGACTGAAGGTTAAAAAATAAAACCAAGGGCTAAGAGAGATGGCTCAGTGGTTAAGAGCACTTAGCTGCTCTTGCAGAGGACCCAGGTTTGATTCCCAGAACTCACATGGCAGCTAACAACTGTCTGTAACTCTAGTTCCAGGGGATCTGATGTCCTCTTCTGATCTCTGTGGGCATTGCATGGTATGGGTGCACTTACATACAAACAGGTAATACATTCGTACACATTAAAAAAAAGAAAGCAAAAAAAAAAAGTTTAAAAAAGCTACTGTAGGAAAAGCTTTGGAGAAATAGTCTCAGCACAACTGCAATTAGATCAGAAAATGCCACTGGCCCAGGTCAGCAAGAAAACCCTGGGACCAGAGCTCACTCTTCAATCTGTCTGTCTGGTGATATAAAGACTGAGTGCTGGGGTGGGAGGTTGGGGTGCTGGCTGGACCATGCTGTGTGAAGCTCTGTATGTGTCTCTAATTTAACGGATGTACTGCTTTCTCTGCTAATTGAGAGAGCGTTATTTGTTTTGACACAAATGCTTGCAATGTTTTATTCTAGCTAATAGCTTCTTAAAGGTAATAAAACCCTTCAACCTAAAAAGAAGACTGAATGCTGGGATTAAAGGCATGTGTCACTACGCCCAGCTAGAAGAATCTTTTAATCCCCCACCCCCACCAAGATATATTTCTTTTTCTTTCTTGCTTGTTTGCTTGTTTTTTTTGGGCAAGGTCTCACTAGGTATCCCTGCCTGGCCTGGAACTCACTATGCAGATCAAGTGAGCCTTGACCTCAGAGCTCTGCTTCGCAAGTGCTGCGACTAAAGGTGTGTGACACTATGCCTGGCTTCAAGATTTATTTTTTAAAAATATTTTAATTATTTTATGTGTATTTTGACTGCATGCATGTAAGTGCACACATATTATGCAATGCCTACAGAGGTCAGAAGAGGGCATCAGATTCCCTGAAAATGGAGTTACAGATGGTTTTCAGCTGCTATGTGGGTGCTGGGAATTGAACCTGGGTTCTCTGTAAGGGCAGCCAGTGCTCTTAACCAC